ACTCTGCGGCTCACTTTCAAGACAATGCAGAGCATTGTCTTGTCCAACTCGTAGATGGATTGGAGGGATTGCGCCTCGTATAGGCCGGTCCCGGATGGTCGGTTATTTTTGGGAAGTTTGAGAGAAGCAAGGTATTACTCTGCTCGCGGAAGACCCCACTCCATGCCAATGGCACGATAGTTGTTGATGTTTGGGATGGCTTCGGATGTGGTATCGGTGTTCCCGTCTTCGTTACCAGATGTTTCATGATCATCCTCGTCCTCCTTAGTGTCTTCATCGTCTTCATCGTCTTCATCGTCTATCCTGGCTCGCTTCCTACTGGTGTTGTTGTTGGCTGCGTGAGTTTTACTTTCAGCTAGTCGGCGTTGGCGTACGGTGGTGGTGGGAGTAGGCAACCGGTGGTTGTCTTCAGAAGTTTTCGACACAGAGGGTTTTCGGTTTTTGCGGAGGCCGGATCGCGGGGGCATTGCAGGGTACTACTGGTTTTTAAAGTTGTAAAGCACTTTGGTTAGATGCGTATTTTGGATGACTACGTGGGATGAATTGGTGTAATTCTTGCTTACTGTCTGTCGTCGATGGATTGGTGGATGGATTGGTGGATAGAGGTTGATGGTGAAGAGTGTGAAACAAAGTTCGAAAAGATCGGCAGGAATTAAGAGTGGGAGATGCTGAAGGTACGTAGTGTAGGTGTAGGAAAATATACATTATATGTGTAAGATGTTAGGTGTCTGGGAGCTTAATGGTGGAATACTGTAGTAGTGAGGAATGTACTTGTGCTAGTGAGATAGTGAGTAGTGATGTAGTGAGGTTTTGGAAGTGGGATCGTAAGAGGCTGTTGCGAGTAGCACAATGGGTAGTTGTGTAGTAAGATCTTGTGGTTTGGTAGTAAGGTGTTCATTTAAGTAGTAAGAGCGGGTGATTTGGTAGTCAGATTTTTACATATGTAGTAAGATCTGGTAGTTGGGTAGTAGCATTATTGCTTGTGTAGTCAGATCTGATGGTGTGGTAGTAACATTTCTACATGAGTAGTAAGATTATTACTTGTGTAGTAAGATTATTACTTGTGTAGTAAGATGTGGTGGTTTGGTAGTGACATTATTACTCGTGTAGTAAGATGTAGTGGTTTGGTAGTGAGATTATTACTTGTGTAGTAAGATCTTGTGCTTATGTAGTGAGATTTGTACTTGGTGCGTATGGGGGGCCAAGGCCCCCCCCTTGTAGAAGTGTGACTTAGGGTGATCTCTAGGTCACCATAGGACCATCTATCTTGCTAAGAAATTCTAAAGGGGGACATTCGAAGTACATAGGATGATAGCTACACGTGTATCATCCAATACACTCGGTGCTTTTCAGTGTACACAGGTGCGTTAGCATGTGTAAATTGAGTGGTCTAGATGGACGTACTGCAGGATCCCAACATTGGTGCATCACCTTGATGACTTCCGTTGGTGTGGAGTTGTGGGCAGTACCTCTAGCTGACCATTCAACTATGCGTCCCACACCCTGAGTTAAAACCTTGTTCGCCATTGATCGAAGTAGCACCTCGGCGTCGTCAATCGGAATAGTACTTTGTGCGTCCTCAAGAAGAAAGGTATCATTTTTAGAATTCGAAACCGCAACTTGGCCGTTGAGTCTGTAGGCATGGTTGTCCCTGATTTGTGTGTCGATTTTCAGGGCCGCAACCGTCAAGGCGTGACCTTGCAAACCGCTCTCATGTACAATGACGTCGGATTCAAAATAAGAAAATCTATCATCCCGATCCGCTTCTACAGAGATGATCTACGTAACGGGATTAGCTGCATGTCGATAATGTTCTGGTCAGGCGCTTACCTGTCTTTTAGTTAAGAATATAGAATTGAATCGCAACGGATATCCCGAAACTACGTAATTGTGCATTAAGAATTTGATCCTGGATAAGTGTAATGGAAATTGGGAGGTAAATGATTGCTTTTATTGTCTACCTAAAGAGTGTGTTAGATCCTAATTTATATCGCTGATGAGTATGAATGGAAGAAACATAACAGAGATTAAAGACTGGCCCAGGTGAATCACTCCACTGAGTTGCGTCCTGAGGCAGTATTCCGGTTCTAATCAATGAATCAGCTTGGCATTGCCACGGCAGAAAAACAGCTTGTCGTCAAGAAGGTGCGATGCCATGAAGAGGTCAAGAATCAAGGGATCCGGATTATTGGGTGACTCAATGCACTGTAGGAGCCAAATACATTTTCATAATGCAGAGAATGCTGATATAGGTTACGGTAGCGGCAATGTCCTATGTGAAAAGTTAAATCAACACATTGCAATTGGATTCACTTTGTCCGGGCTTCTTTCGCAAAGTCCACCATGAGCCAATGTAGTCGCCGCCTCGGCTGTGTGGAAGTCACGTGAGGGTGATGCGCAGTGGAAACGCAGTCGATACAGTTTCTCTCAGCTTAATCCTGCAGAGCAGACTCGCTGCTCAGGATGAGGTGCTGAATTGAGTGTCTGTCGTTCTGACTCGTCAGCCATCCCCTGCAGAGTGTCTATGAACAGAGAGTTCCATGACGTTTCGGAAAATAATTCATTTTGATCACGGAATAATGGTAGTATGACATTGCGGATTGAGATACAATGACAAAATCGACGAAGCGTATTGACATCTATAGACAGGAGCAACAAAGAAGAATGAGAAAGGGAACGTATCGATACAATGGAAATGAAGATGTGCTAAAGTAAAAGAAAGTGAGCTGTTACAATGTACTGAGAGTAGCGCGCAACGGAGCTCTCGGTCAGGATCATAGGCATAGGGCATGTAACAATGAGCGGATCAACAAAAAGGGTGTAGCATGTGGAACAGGTTCCATCAACCACGGCGAGGACGTTTACCGAGAGATTTGTTCGACATCTCGGCGAGTGGTTCGGAACCTTCTTCTCCTTCGTCGGCTACGTCAGCAGGATCAACGTCGCCATTAAACAATGGAACTTCGTTTTCGGAAGAGGGTTTGCTGACGTTCACGGCGGTGACTTGCGATGCGGAGGTGCTAGCCACCGGTCAAGAAGTGCGACCGCTGTGACGGGTGCTTTGGTCAATATTAAAACTTCTTGTAGAGCGACGACAAAGGCACTCACAGTGACAATGGGACACGGCCACCGTTGGGACCTCCGGCTCCTCTGGCAGGGGAGGGAAGGTTTAGTTGAACTTCGCCGTAGCAGACGCTGATCGCAGTTACCTGTTAAGTTATGGGTTAGTTATTTGGAATCAAGAGTGTCTCGACAACTAACCTCATTCTCCCACATGAAAAGATCGGCGTCGTAATCTCTAATGTGGCCCGTTAATTGCAATTCTCTACCGAGTTGACATAGATTTTGCGCCTTCTCCATGTTCCGGGCAGGAGGGATGAAATGTTTTGTAAACCATGACACATGTCCTCGAGTCTGGCAGAGGCATCATTAGATAGAGAACCTTCAAAAAATGACAACGACTCACCAATGGGTCGTAATCCGTATGCTTCAGCGTTATGACTACAGTGCTCTTACCATTGTGAGCGGGATCTTGGATCAGGTCTCGCCCATAAACAATTCCAAGCGCTATCATTGGAATCTTGTCGATAAGGTCGCCGACAAAAAATTCACCAAATCTGTCAATGTTGCCCAGATTAATACGATTGATGTTTTCAAAATGAAGTTGGTCGTCGGTATTGTTATTGGTGCCGATAAGCTTGCAGTTCATCGAATAAACATTTCGTGGAATGAGAGTGTCTGCTTGGGAACCGTAAGAGGTGATTTGAATCGGGTTTTCGAACGGTGCTCCTCCGTTCATCCCTGAAGTGGCGATGGATGTGTGATGAGAAATGAAACCTTTCGCGCCGTTCAATCGCGCAAAGGCCTATGGAGAGGTACCTGTCAGCGTGTTGAATAACTCGGTGGAGTCTAGTACGGACCTCAGCGCCGGCCTCGCCAGTAAAACCGACTCGAACGGTGTGGGACGGGGTTCTGATCTCGTTCTTTGACGCGGGTTTTGACATGTTGAGGGTGGTTGGAACAATGGTGTTATACGATTCAGTCAATGAATCAGCAAGAAAGTGAGGTGGAGTTTAAGTGAAAAATTCGAGATACGATGATACGATGAAGAGGGAACAGATATGCGGATGGAACAACCTTGAAATTGCAAAGATTGAGGGTTTATATACTGGTCCGTGAATTGGTGTATGGTAGATTGCCGGAAGTGTCTTTTCGACTGAGGAGAGGGCGTCAGGCCATGTCAGAGACACGGTCAAGATCGCAAAGGGCTGGTCGTACTGCTCATGACTATCATCCGGGCCAGGAACTCGTGTGCATTGGATTTAACGGTGTCAAAGCCTAGACCGTTGTAAGGAACTAATGAAATTAATGAGTGAGTAACGGGTAGTATATCAAATGTGGGTTTGAGTGTAGGGCGGTTGCAGTTGAAGTGGCAGCCGGAGGTTATGCGCTGCTGTACTGCCACGACTTTGGTTGTCGGTGGTCAAGAATCCAATGCGGGTGTAACCACTGAGGAATGCGGAGACCTTGATTGAAGTTGGAATGTTGTGCAATATTGGAATTATCTAGGTTCGCGCGGTGACTTACATCTTCATGCAGGATTAAGAAAGGAAGAGGCGGTGTGTCGACGACGTCCGAGGCGGTCACGGGGCAAATAAGTATCAATAATTGGCAAGTATTTGTGACACATAGTTTACGAAAGCGGACTGTGGTGATGGGCGATATCTCGATGTGCCTGAGCGGAGATAAATGTAACTTGAATCTGAGGAATCATGGTTCGCGAGTTATGTTAAAGGTTTCAAAAGAGATTGGACTGCGAGGTTGGTGTTGCAATGATGTTGGCACTGCCAAATATTTGCGATTGGAATAGACCGTCGGTGTCTCAATGCTTCCCCGTGAGGTTACGGTAATATGTTGAGAGATCTTACCCTTGCAACATTGAGTCTGTTTGAGCCGATATATGATATGGGTTGGGGAAAGATAAGGAATCCGTCAATGTATATGATACCCTACGGCATCTTGATCCATGTATATAGATAGACATACACAGGGTGTCGAGGAGTGATGTGGTTGCGGGGCTGCTTTTGTTCTTCTGCGTAACGTAAGTGTCGGCCATACGGTAAGACTTTTCGTCGCCGATAAATACCTCTACTGATACCAATTTCGTTGTGCTCTGTCCTTTCCTTTCTGGAGTGCAGCATGGATTCATCGTCCGCTGATGGACTTACTTACTTTTTACCCAAGATGGGTCAGCGTATAACACCTAAAAGAAATTATCAAAGGACGAATCTCATTTGCAGGAAAGATCTCATCACTCCTTGGATGTCAGAGCGTCAAAAGTCCGAGGTGTACTACCTTGACATTCCAGCAACAGCGATGATAGAGGTCAGAGACGGCGAAGATCAATGTTTCACGTGTTCTCTTTTCGGACATGCGTTTGTCGACTGCCCGGTGAAGGGTATGCCGCCCCGCGAGGACTTCGGCGATTGGCGTTTAGTAGAGAATGGCAGAGTTTACAGTTTGTTGGCTCTGTGGCCGGAGCTTGGTCGAGCTCGTGCACTTGCTAAATTGCAAAAAAAGGGCAATGGAGGTGGCACTCAACGCTCTGCGGTACCACGATCAAGGTAAGTAACGAATATTTAGGTAGCGATGTGGTATTGATGTGGATTTAAACATTTTTATAGTGCCAATGACCAGATTGGAAGACTGAGCGGAAGTCACGGAAAAGAAACGTATGTCTATTGTCTCTTCAAGCATAGATATGTGTTTACGACAACATTGACGGGCGGAGGTGACTACATCAATACAGCGTTGAGGCAACAACGTCAGACGGAGCAGTGGCTGAAGTCCGAGGCGATGATGAAGTGTTAACGGCCTCAATGAAAATGTAAGTGCTGAAGGATTGTATGTGATACCTACTGTGTTGCGGCTAATAAAAGTGTAGCAGAGTGAACGGTTTAGACAGGGCGGAGAATGCGAAACGGAAAAATGTGTCGTCTGCTGAGTACATATGTCAGGTTGTTTGCAAGTGATCTATGTTTTACTGACTTTGAAAGTAGGTGTGCTGAAGGCCCAGGCCGCGCGGACAAAAAACGGAAGTGTCAACAGATTAAACGATCTAGGTCATGCACCAGTCTCAATCGCTCTTTCAGCCATGTAAGTCAACTCAATTCTAACGTGAATTGGTTGCACATGGCTAAAGTGCATGTGCAGTGTCCTAATTTCCGTCGATCAGATTGCGAAACCGACTTTGTATTATAAAAGAGTGTGAAGTCCTGGAGAAGACTACGGTGTCGTCGCGCATTGATATGACGCTAATTTTATTGCGGACAGCAAGGTATATGTTGAATGAGGGGACAAATGATAGAAGCAAAGGATTATAGTTCTCAGATTGGGGTGTAAAGGCTGGAATTTTTTTCTATTTTATGTTGGTTGTATATGATGTGTCATCACATTGAGGTGTAAAGGCTGGAATTTTTTTCTTTTTATGTTGGTTGTATATGATGTGTGAAATCGTATAGTCAAAGGGTTTGTAGGGTTTCGAAATTAAGGTGTAGGGAATAGCAATTGCTTTTTCTTATTCGTCATTGTGGAGTGTCATAGCTCGGTTTTGTGCCACGTTTATTAGAAGTGTTTGCAAATGCCGCGGTATGATTGGGACCTTCACAGGATCTTTGTCACGGTTGCAGATTTACACCTTGCGCAATGATTGATGCATCAGGGGCAGGGGCTTCTTTGATAGAGTGAGAGCAATAGGGTTGGGGTCTGAAAGTACATGGAGAGTGACACGAATCATTGCATTGGCAGCGTATTGGCGCGTGATGACTGTATCGGTGACAGCCACATTTGCCCGGGAGACCGATTGCGAAGGAGTCATTGTTTTTTACGTCGCTATGACCCCGGTGACCACGGCGGCGCCGTCCTCGACACAGGGTGCTGGTTCCAAGCGTAGGATTCTGGGCAGCATCTTTTTTTCGTTTCGAGCACATTTTCTTTTATTTGTTTGATTGAGGATGTCGCATGCCGGGAAATCAGAATTGCATTGAGTTGCAAATTTCAAAGCGCCCATTGATTTGTACATAATAATTGCTGCGCTATGATCAAGTTCTCGCGACAAAAGGAGATATCAATTTATGAGTTTGTCGTCACAGACCTCCGGCGAAGTCATGTCGTAACATTGTTCCTCTGGCTGATCCATACAGAGATATTCCTTAGAGCATCTCCAACGCGCCCCAATCTGAATGACTAAACGTTACGTTTATGTCAAAAACGTAACGTGTACAGGTGTTATTCAGAAAATCGTCCTCCAGCGCCGAGGGCAAGGTCTCACACCTGGCCCACGGTGCGAACTTGGTTTTTGGGAAATGACACACTCCCATGCTCAGGTCCGCAAATTTGCGGACCTGGCTGAACAATCTGAAAAGCGATCTCCCATCACCTTTTGGCCAAGCAATGACTAAAATGATTGTCCGTACGTCAAACTTGTTACGTATTGTGACAACAACACAGGTAGGTGACTGCTCTCGTCTGGACAAAAAGGGACTTTGGGCTACTTTGGGTGACATGGGTTGGACCTCAAGAGATATTGAGCATGAAGTTGAGTAGTGCGCTGGAGGGCGCTGTCACTGAATAAAAAATACAGCTGTCCAGCCGAGGAAAAAACTCACCTGTACATGTTTTCGGATTCAGCAACGTTGGAGATGCTCTTAGATGTTTTGAAACATGCGGGTAGAATAGTCTCAGGCTGGTGGAACTCAGGATGAGCCCCGACCCCCGAATGCCGGGGACTGGGCTGCCCGGCCCACCGACTTTTTTTCAAAAGTCAGAACGAGGACCGACCCCGGTATTCCCCGAGCTTTTTCTGGCTCATAGGTCAAGCCCGGCTCCCGTACCCTGACCCCCGACGAACTACCAAATCCCCGGGAAATTAAGGGGATCCCCGAGTCCCCGGCTATTTCCGGCAGAAACCGCTGAGCACAACCTCTCCCAAGCGTGTATTTATCCGCTTTTTACAGCTTGATTTTTCCTCGGGTTCCCCGAGGAGAGTCACTTTCTTTTGACTCTCAGAACGACTCCCGGGCCCGATAATCCCCGCGGTTCTGCGACCCTTCGAAGGCCAGAACGACCCCCCGACCCGACGGGCTGTCCCGCGGGTATCCCCGATTTGGCGGGTCTCGGGGCTCATCCTGAGGTGGAACTGTACTCAGCTGATTGAACAGGTCAAAACTCGAGCTATTCCAATTTTTGAGTTTCTGAACCCTGGATGTCAAGCTCTCTTCATATTTGACTGTTCCTCGGCTCAGGAATCGTTTGCTTCAGATGCTCTGCGGGCTGAAAAAATGAACTTGGGATCAGGTGGTGGAAAACCACGTCTTCGAGATACTGTGATCCCTTTGGACGATCCCAACATACCTACACGCCTCCAAGGTCAAATTCAAAAGATGAACTTTCCTTCTGATTGTCTCGGCATCAAGAAAATCAAAGGTCAACCTGGCCTCAAGTTGGCAGATCTACCAAAAGGTGTTCAGCAAATTCTAGACAAACGAGAACTCTGGAATTATCACAATCATCAGCGTGCTTCAAGAGGTCTTAAACCTATGGGATTAAAGTGTGAAAAGTGCAAAGAAAGCGGTCTTGCTAAAGACAAGATTCGCCGAGCTGAAAGAATTATTCAAGACGCTGCTGAAAATCTCAATTCAGGCACCACCTTGGAACTCGATGCAACATCACCATCTGAGGACAACTCTCACGACTGCTGTGCGTTCAAGGTTCTATCCAACCAATCGGACTTCAGAAATGAAAAGCCTGTACTTCAGAAGATCATCGAAGAGGCAGGTCACTTGTGATGTTTTTGCCAAAGTTTCACTGTGAATGGAACCCTATCGAGCTCCTTTGGTGCTTCATCAAACCACGTAAGTTCTTTTTTACTCCTCCATAAAATCACATTAATTCATTGATTGCTCATCTTAATATCGATTTTGCTCTAGAATATCGTAAATTGAGTCACACTGCCAAGACAATTGCCGAAGCTAAAACTTTGTGGGAAACCGTCAGGACCAGCTGTCCGCTGATCTATACGCAAGTTTTTCAAGAAGGTGGACAAAATAAGAGCTGACCTCATGTAAGCCGTCGCTTTTTGGTTCGATCGGACATGATTTCCTCAAAATTTACCATGATATGTCATAGGGAAAAAACAACGGGCCCTGATCCAAAAGCGCAGGTCTACGCTTCTCACCGACAAGTCCCTTCGACAGCTGCATCAGAACTTTTGTGATTGGTTTTGATGGATTTACTAGTGTATCGTTTTATTCGTTTTGTCTTTTTCATCGTTCATCTCTACATCACAAACATCATTCTCATTTTTCTTCAATTTGTCATTTACCTACGTCAGAACTATGTACTTCGTGAGCAATGAAATTGGTTCTTCCAATTCAACATCCAATATCCATTCTTGAATACGCTACAAGTTGCCTCGCAAGCGAGAGCGGTAGGTTTTTGTAAAAAAAACAAAAAAATCCAACACCTCCGATTCCGGAAAAAAGCTATACGTGGATAGCAATAGGTCTCAACATCAATTATCCATTCTTGAATTCGCTACAAGTCAACTTGCAAGCGAGAACGGTAGGTTTTTGTAAAAAAAACAAAAAAACTAAACACCTCCGATTCCAGAAAAAAGTTATACATGGATAGCGATACGTCTCAACTTCTGATATCTGCTCTTAGATTCACTGAAAGTTGACTCACAAGCGAGAACATTGGATTTCAAAAAACAAAAACAAAAAAAACTAGTGATCAGTTTTAAAAAAAAGTTATGCATGGAAAAACAAAGGGCTGAGGGTTTCAAAACTGCTCTCTGATGCTCAAAGTGTTGAGATCTGAGTGAGAACATCGAATTTAAGAATTGCTGGTACTCGTTTGAAATTTACAAGCCTTTGGCACTAGCAACCATACAGTTCGTACAGCTTATGCTCACTTAGTGACCTACGCTCATGGAACTTATCCCTTAAGACGTGCCTTTGTTAAGACAATCACTGATACTCTCAACAACCATCCATGTTCAGTCTGCTACACCACGGGTGCGTCCTGACCGCCTGCGGGCTGGCCGAGTCGGCCGTCCGCAGGCGGCCTGCCTCTACGCAGTGAACGGCCGCCCCGCGCTGGTCAGTGAGGGAGCGCCGACGAGACGCAAAATACACGCCCATGGGCGGCCTTCCTGGCAGCCACTTTCCAAGCTCCAGACGCTGGATATCCTGCCGGCAGGCGGCCTACAATGCTACACAGTGGCCTTGCGGCGGCCGACCAGTCAGAATCCTGGAGCCGAATGGAGCTCAGGAACGGAGATGGGTCTCAGGCAGGCGCGGGCACGCGATATCTCGTTGATTATGACACATAAGGCCTTGTTTCTTCAAGGATGCATTTCCGCAATAAGATAAGAAAGAGAGACAATTGGAACTACAGGCTAATTCGCATTGAAACAAAGACAGTATTGAAAAGACATCTTGAAAGATGAACAGAACAAAACACGCGTGGTTCATCATTCATCAGCAGCGGCGGGTTGGGGTTCCATGGTGTTCATTTCCACCTCGACCTCCCCGTCGCTGGGCAATGCAAAATTCACTTGGGCAGGAATGTCCGTGAAGCGAACATTTCCTTCAAACAAAGCGCAATCCTGATTGTAGACCAGTTTATAGAACCTGTTCGGTTCAAGCCAAAACAAATGGTCAGTTGGTAATGCAGAAAAAAAAGACACCATGAAAGAATGAAATAATGCAGACTTACGCCGTAGTGTAAAGTGGCCCACGCTCGCGCATCTTTCGCAGTTGTTGGTCAACACGTGCCCAAATGTTGCCACCACCCCGAACGACTCGCATCGCTTCGCGACGCTGTGAAATGGAGAATGGAGAGGAAACACAATGTGTTTAACATATAGTGTTTCTGCTAAGTAGGTGGATGAGTATACAAGCGGGATGCCACTGACAAGATATGCCACGCGCAGACGATGACCCCAACTCAATTGGCTCCATAGGGCATCTGCGTCCAGGCTTTCTGGGTTAGTGTTGCATTGATCGGCAATCTAGAAAAGCAATATGATGGTCAAAAACTTCATAAAGGATGTGTGTAGAGGGAGAGAGGTAGAATTACGCGATGGACAAGCTTCTTGATGTTTGGGACAGTGGCGGTGATTGGGCTCGGATCTCGTGGGTTTCGAATGTTTGTCAGA